GGGGGAGGGTGTTGGGTTTTATTTTTTATTTTATTATCACCATTAACCTCTCAGAGAGCTCAACCTGCACGGAGAAGCCAGGATCCCAGAGCACTCCACAGGGTTGCCCCATTAATCCACAGCCGGCAGATTACAATCTTTCTAGATGTAATCATGCTTTAGCATCTTACTTCAAAATTTTAACGGGTAAAAATTCCCCATCTCGGTGCGAGATTGCATCATGAATTCCCTCTGCCTCATACGGCAGGGATGGAAAAATACTACTTTTCATCGTTGCACAATGCTTGATGTAAGTTTCTGAAAATGAGCGCTCTAGTAAGTCTAAAAATGTAGGATAATACGATTCATTTATAGATCGCTGATAACAGATGTGGTTTCTGTTACTCCGTTACCACATCAAGGATTACTCCTGCTCCTTCAGGAAGGACACGGCACCCTCCTCCTGACGAACCGTTACCATAAAACAGGGTCAACAACAAATACCACCTTATCATTAGCTGAGTGGAGCAGTTCCCATTGATTTATGACGCTAAACGCTGCGAGGCTGGATCGAGCCGCAAGTCCCTTTTTCGCAAATATTCTTTTCACGAGACTGCTGTAAAATATGAGGAGCCGCCTCACCCGGGTTTGGTTTTGTTTACAAAAAATGTTTTACAACTTGCAGGGATTCTTCCCAATATTAGTTATTAACAACGCCGAGGTGGCATTTGCATTTTTATAACCTTGTTACTTAAAAGTGAAACAGTAGAAGGAGAGACTTAGCCGTAGCGTTCCCTGCCTGCTTTAATCCCAGCCTGAGCTTTTTATGCTTGAGAGCACCTTATGATGCTGTAACTAACCTCAAACCTGGAGCAGCAGGAGGGCAACAAACCTCCGAATACAGCAATGTCATGCTTTACAGGCATACTCTGCGCAACAGCATGAATGAAGGAAAAAAAAAAAACGTTGCCTAGGAAACGCTCGAGTCTTGGTAATTATTACTGTAACTGTCTGCACACCCCACCTATAACAGAAATGAATAATAAATTATAATCACTGACTGGCAGCTTTCCGGTGTTGCTTTTGCTCAGCGCCGCTACCTACCGGCGCGCGCGGGGAACTGCTGGCCGCCGGGCCGGGCCGGGCCGGGCCACGCGCAGCGCGGGCA